AACTCAATCTAACCACAGGCTTAACTCGCTTCAATCTAGTATCTAGATCTAGGAGCCCGGCAGTCTTTGGAAATATGTCCAATTTCTCGGCAGGTATAACATCTGGGCTTCCAGTCTCGCTCCTCTCGGTCGTTTCCTTTCTCTTGGGCACGTTCTAGAAGTTCCTTCTTCACACTTTCCCAAGACTCTTTCTCGCCTTTCTCACGAATAGCTCTTAAAGCATCGCGTAACTCAATCATGTGCCACTCTTTTTCCATTATGGCATAGAGTATGTTTAGGCGTTCTGCATCGTTATCTATCTTTTTCAATTCGAAAACTGCTTCTAAATGGTCGGCTAAGTACTGAATGGATTTAGACATAGTAGTATAAAGCTGGGGTAAAAAAAGAGCAAAAATAGGATAGATTGGGTTGAGTTTGGTATTGGATTGGTATTGGGTTTGGTTAGATTGGTATTGGATTGGGTTGGTTAGATTGGTATTGGGTTGAGTTGTGTTGTGTTGTGTTTGGTATTGGATTGGTATTGGGTTGAGTTGAGTTGAGTTTAGATTGGTATTGGGTTGAGTTGGGTTGGCGTTGTGTTGAGTTTGGTATTGGGTTTGGTTAGATTGGATTAGGATAATTAAATGGATTAAGTTGTATTTAGTTTAGTATTCAGTTGAGTTAGTATTCAGTTTAGTTGGTATTTAGTTAATGTGGCATTTGTACCCACCATATACATCTTAATGAGATTCTCAAATCATCTCTACTTTTAAACGAGTAAGTACAGATAATGTAGATACTTATTCCTTACTACTTTAAACAAGCTAATACTAACTAAACCAACTCGATTAGAGTATAAATATACGACGAAGATTAGTAAAGGACTTTCTAAGGACTTCCTATGACATACATGAAGGATTCGCATAGAAGAATATACCAGACCTAGAAACGGCACAGAATCGCATACCAACATAATACCAACATAATACCAACACAACACCAACACAATTTATCTCTCGTTGAGTATAATTGGATGTGAGGTCTTTATTCTCTCTTGGGACACAACAGTATGTTATGTTATGAATGTAATTGAGTAATACTATACTGACCAAATACCACCCCAGAAGGATTATAAGCCAAGAGTTGCTGACGTAATACGCGAGTTAAACTCAATGGTTAGACTAATGATAAAGTCGAGTAGCAATAAAAGAGATAAAGATACAAGACATCAAATACTAACCAAATACTAATACTAACCAAATACTAATACTAACCAAATACTAACTTAACTCCTACTGTAATAAACTAAAGTGACCGATTAGATTGCTTGCGCATTTATTGAAGTATTATTGGGCGGCCTTATCCTCATTCTCGGCTTCATGAGGTTGTTGCTCCTCCTGCTTACGCATCTCTTCTTCTTTGCGAGCTTCCTCAGCTTGACGGAGTTGTTCTTGGCGAGCTTCCTCAGCCTGAATCTCCTGTGTAGCCGTATCGCGTAGAGTGGACTCAATCGAATAAAGAGCAAATATACCAGGATACTTAGGAGGTTTAACCGTCCAGGAAAGGTCTTTAGCTACTTTATCAGCTAAAGTTGCAGCTAAAGCATTCCATTCGGGTTCAACTACAGATTTAAGCGAATCTTCAATGGACTGTTCCCAGGCTTCAATATCTTTGATAGTAGTTAAGTTAGTAGGTATAGATTGACTGTGCAGCCAAAGTTCTTCAGTAAGTTGGGCAGCCGATGGAATTTGAGCTAAATCACCCTCTGATAAAGCATTAAAACTCTCAAACAACCGGGCTTGGGCTGAATTAGTACGATCTTCAACAGCAGTTGCTTCTAGTTCAGCCGCTACAAAATTAGCTTCATGCTTAGTCGTATGCGATAAATCAATCTGATCAATAACCGGTTGAGCTACTAAATCAGCCGAAGAGAACCCAAGGAAACCACTTGGCTCAATCCAGGCCCGGAAAGAGACGTTCTTAGCCCCAGGAGTAGTTGCCTTAGCTTTAGTATCAACTTTGGGCTCAGATTCAGCAGGAGATTCAGTTAAGGGACTAAGTGTATAGATAGGATAATTACCAACTGAAATAGTTAAACTTGAATCGGGTAAAACGTTCTTAAGCTTAATGAGCTTCTTAGCCGGACTAATAATTTGAACTGAAGAGTCATACTTAGCACTAACTAGCTTAGCCTTACGTTCCCTGGTAATTTCATAACCACTCGGAATGATAGTCAGTTGCCGAGGTGCCACTGAAGCATGTTCTACCTTAAGTATATAAGGTACATCTATAATATCAGTAATAACCGGATCAAACCGAAAGCGATGATGAACTGACTCCATAAGCATACGATACACTCCTCCTAAGGCAGCTGACTCATCAGCATTAAGCTGAACTTGGGCTTTAAGACTAGTAGCTGCCTCAACAATAGTAGGGACAAAGAAAAGACGAGAAGAACCGCCAGTCACTTCTACTTCAATACTTGGTCTCTCAACTGGATTATCTTCTGTAGCTGTTGCAACTAGTTCATCAATATCTTGTTCAGCCTTAGCATACACTTCCTTAAGTAAAGTACGTAGAGCTACAATCTGCTGACCTATTAATTGTTCTAAATCTTGACGAGATATCTTTATCTCAATAGTTTGATCATTAGAGATATCCATTTGCGTCTTAACCTCAGGAAGACCAGTTAAAGCATTCTTAATCCAGTTAAGTTGTTTAGCATTACGAGTTTTAAACTCTTCTAAAGTAAAGATATCAGAAATAGATTGTTTTTGTTGTTCGTTATAGATCTTAGTAGCTAAAGCATTAGTGACATCTCGACCACCAAAAGCCAGATTAACTCTAGTTCTGATACGTAGAATTTCACTACTAATTAGAGCTAAAGTAACAGTAGTAGTACTATGACCTAAATCAGCAATAATGATGTACTTAGACTGGGCTGGAGTTCTGCGGCTGAGATAGTAAGCACAAAGAGCTTGTGAATCAGATATACAAGAGACTGGAGTACCAAGTTGTCCAACTAACTTAGTAAGGATGGTTTTATGGGCTTCAGTATAATCACTAGGTACGACTAGTTCTAATTCTATATCTTTGGCGGTTAAATTTTGTTTTTTAAGATAGTTTTTGATTAGATAAGATATCAAACCGTAAATATGAGAAACATTTTGAGTATGTTTCTTCTTTTGATATCCAGCTAAATACTCAGTGCAGTATATCTCTATCTCATTACGTATCTCTTCAGCGACTTTTTCTCTATTCCGATAAGAAGCACCGACTAAACCAAACGATCTTTTCTTGCCTCGATAATCAATAGACATTTTAGTGTCTCTAGATCCAGGTTCATTTAGTACTATTTCACCGGCAGAAGTATCAGACGAAGCCATAACGGCCTTAAAACTTCCTAAATCGATTGAGAGGACTTTCATGCTAAAAAAAAGAGTATACTGTATATATAAACCATAGAAACTTGTAGAAATTGAATGGGATTGAGTTGAGTTAGGTTTGGTATTGGGTGGGTAGTGAGTTTGAATTGAGTGGGTAGTGAGTTTGATTGAGTTTGCAATAAAGATATCATGTTTTGTAGTCATGTTTTGTTTTATTTGAATTGAGTTGGTCTTGGGTTGGTTTTTGGGTTGTATTTTGGTGGTTGGTGAAGGTTCTGATGGAATGTTAACTAAAGTGATGTAAAGTGATGTAAAGTGGTGTAAAGTAATGTCAAATACAAGATCTGATAGGTATTGTTTGATAAGAATTCAATACGAACTCAATACGAACTCAAATACTAACTCAGTAGTAGTTAAATTGGTTGAATTTGGTGTTGATGGTGAATTAGAGGTTTAGATTTAGAAGTAGTTTGAAAATTAAACCAACGGCACAAATTCAAATGGCATCTAACTTAGTTGCTATCTAACTTAGTTGTCACCAACTCAACTCAACTTAACTAAACCAATACTAATCTAACAATAAACTTAGCTTAGTGTGTTTGTGATATGGATGTATGTGATATAGACGTATGTGATATAGACGTAATGGTAAGATGACTAGTTAGTGATATGACTAACTAGCCAAACTAAACTAAACTAAACCAAACCAAACCACACTTCACTTCACTACATCTTAACCTCAATAATACTAACTCATTGCTAACCCGGGTTTATTGACTAAGATTGACTAACTTGAGACGAACTCAATCATACTTAACTTGAGAGAAACTTAATTGGGCTAGTGGTGGATTAGGCATACCGTTGCGTGATGAGGTTGGTAGTGGGGCCATAGATTGCGGGGGTGTTGGTTTGGGAAGTAATGGGCACTAAGGGGATACCAACGGGTTGGGCGGCGTTGAGGCCTGCCATGGTGCACAGAGGAATTGCAGTGTTGCCAAGGTTGTTGGGCGTTGGGAAGACTTTAGAACTGGCATTGGCTGCTAGGATTGTGTTGGCTGGTTGGGGTGGAAGCATGGTGCTGCGTGTTGGGAGGAGGTTGACCTTTCTTTGTAGCTGCGAATTATGCCCGGGATTGACCTGGGAGAAAAGTGTGGCTTGTTGGGGTGCTGCGAAGGTAGTAGTGGCGTATTGTGCGGGTAGAGTGGTGATATACTGTTGTGGGGCGAGGTTGTATTGTTGTGGGGCGAGATTATATGGCTGGGGAGCAAGATTGTATTGTTGTGGAGTGGTATACTGGGGGGTGGCGTACCGTGGGTTGAGCTGTTGGCCGAGATTGGCGTAGGCCCGGACGAGTCCTTGAATGGTAATAGTGCGGAGATGTTCTTGCTGTTTGAGGTTAGTTTGCTTGGAAACTCGGGTGGGATGGGCAGTAGTTAGAGGGTTGGCGGCAGTGTTGATTGTATGAGTAATTTGTACGGCTTGTTGGGGTTGTTGGGTCTGGGATATAAGTGAAGTGCTAAGTGGGTTGACGGCTAGAAGGTTTTGGATGGAATTGAATGAGTTGTTATCAAGGAGAATACTTTGCTGGAACCATGGACTGTTGTAGATGTCCATGTTCATCTCGTTGTAGAATGAAGGTAGATAGTAGTACTGCGCAGCCCCAAAGGGATTATTGCGATTACGGAAGCCGTACTGGTTGGCGTCTTGAATAATAACGGGAACAAAGCCCATTTCCTTGAGAATTGTGCGGTAGGTGTTATTGTCGTCAGTTTCATTGCCGTAGGATCGTAGTGAGAAGAAGAATCCCTCTAAAGTGGTTTTGAGTTCGCGGAAGTTAATGTCCCGGAGTAAGAAATTGTTGGAAGCAGGCTGCTGAGGAGCTTTGCTCAGGTCTTTGATTTGAGATAGGAAGACGCGTGCTGCTCGGTAAATGCCAAATCCGTCCTGCGAGAAGAGACTGCAGCAAAACGAACAAGTAGGCCGGTTACACATTCCGTGAATAAAGAAATCCATCAGCACCAGGAGACATACTTTGAGATCGTCATCTTCGGGTCCAAGGGACATAAACCGTTTAACAAAATCACTCTTAATACCAATGGAGCAGTGTTCGCCTATTAATTGGCTAGCCAGGTTAGACAAAGGCGAAGCAGCGGTTGGAATTGTCTGAGGTCGGTTCGGATTAGTGTGCGAGGAGTAATGGTCAAGCATGCGTTCGATAGCAGCTACAGTTTTGACTCCACAGAAGACCGTTACGCCCCTAGAATTTGCTATTTTACAGGTGCAACACTGATTGCATCTGGCCGCATTACCATTCAAAAGCATTTGATTAAGCGCTTTAACATAGTCATCCGCAATAAGCCGTTCACGGATGTCGCGAGTATTACGAGTAGGTGCTGCTGAGTTAGACTGGCCAGTCGAGTTCAACTGGTCAACAAGAGCCTTAGCTGACGCAGCCAGGCTAGCCATGAGCTCGTCTGTAGCTCTAGGCTGGTTAGCAGTAGGAGGAGCATAGTTCTGAGTATGAGCTGACGGATTAGGCACTGAAGTCTGTGCATTCCCACCAAGATCAGGCATGAATATTGTCGTGATAAAGTCATCCAAAGGAGCATTACGGCCCTCTGGCTGATCCGGATATCGAGTGGCAGTCACTGCCATAATCAAGAGTCCCAACAGTGTTGTAAAAGTTCTTGTGATTGTGTTAACTTGAAGAGTATTAGATATAGACATAAGCTACCTTCTAGTCTCTTTATTTATCTGTTTATCCATCACCACTTACCTTATCAGGCCGCAGCCATCTATCTGATGTGGCTGTAAAGGGCAGTTTTTAATATGTGCCAGACTAACTATCGGGAATCAATTGATTTAGATAAGATAAAGGCTAGGTTAGGTTAGGTTAGGTTGGTTGAGTTGGTTTAGTATTGGTTTAGTTTGGTTTAGTATTGGGTAAATTAAGGTAAGATTAAGATAAGATTTGAATTTATTGCTTGTAATACTAACTTAACTTAACTCAACCTAACTCAACTCAACCTAACTCAACTCAATCTAACTCAACTCAACCTAACTTAACCTAAGTTTATCTTATCTAAATCCAAACGAACTTCTGTTCCTAAGTAGTAGGTAAACCCTGTAATAATAGGCAAGTCTATACGCAAGGCATAAACTAAATCATCCGTCTTCTCCGTATATAAGTGCTGCCAATCCCCACTATAAATACTTATCCCATCATAAGCCCGAGCGACAATAACTAACACCCGGCCTTGATACTCCCGACGAAACACCCGCCAAACAGTCCCACCTAAAGACTTCCTATCTACTTCCTGAGTCCCTTTAACTAAACCCAAGTACCCATCATACGTCCCTACTTCTACTACTCCCGACTGCTCTCCCCGACCCAGCCAAGTCACTCCCGCCCCTAACTCCATCTGCTGCACCCACTCATTACTCCGCTGGTCCTTTATCGCCATTGTTCCTAAGTCGCATCCTAAATACACTAAAGGACCCTCAACATGCACACTCCATACTTCATGCTGGCACTTCCCCGACCCACAAACCATCACCTGCCGCTCACTCGTTCCCTTCACCAAGCATATAGACTGGTACCCGCCTGCACTACCTACACTAAAGACTTGATTATCCAAATACACGTGCTTATAACTAGGCCAACCTGTAAATTTACTTACTTCCTTTAAATCCTTATCTCTAATTACTACTCCTTCATACTCACTACTAATCACTACACCACTACTAAGTCCTTCCTCATAAGAGGCGCCAAAAGTCCCTAAATTATCTACTTTAATTATACCCAGACTAACTGAACCTCTTCTAGCGCTCAATTCACTATTATACTCATAAGTAGATACTAAAGGTCCTTTTATTGTCTCTATCCAGTCCGTTATACCCATACGCTAACCACACAACAAAGAAATTAATAAAAAAAGCTTCAGGAACCGTTGTAGTTAATTAAGAAGTGTCATCACCTTCAGTCACAAGAGTTTCATCATTAGCAAGCGGTGCTTAACCGCAGGGGGTCAAATTAAAAAAGCTATTTATAGTAGTAGTTAGTATTTAAGTCAAAAATTTTGCTAGCCTAGGAATGTGCAGTTCTTTTGGGCTGCGATAGAGTGCGTTTATACGTACATATTCTTAAGCATTCCTCAACACCTCTGAAACTCCTTCTAGCTACCCACGAAGCTTTTAGGAGGTGTGCAATACTCCAATCACATAGCCTTATGGTGAGGGATAGTGGTTCACACAACATTAAGTATTAAGATCTTTGTTTTGTTTTGTTTTGATTTGGGTTGGTTTTTGATATAGATTAGATTTAGTTTTTGATTTTAATATCTTTGATTTTGATTTTTGATATAGTTTAGATTTTGATTTTGATTTTTGATATAGTTTAGATTATCTTAATATAGTGTTGTTTTCTTTGGTCTATAGTTCAAACTCTCGTATCTCTTGTTTATTCCTTTTCAGGGGTATTTATAGACAAGAAAGTTTCCTTATTGGGTAATTGTCTGTCCGTCTTGCTAAAACCGGGAATGTCCTTTAGGAAGATACAACTATAGTGTTTATGGCTAGGATTAGTTCTTGTGACTAATACTAACTTAAGTAGTGCTACATATAGTATTGTCTTTATTAAGTGCATATGACGATATATGTGAAGATGCCGATATGAGTGAAGATGACGTCATAATCAAATTTTAGTAACTTTGAGTTAATATTCGGTTGGTATGTAATGCAACCACTACTAACAATAACACTACTCTAATTAGGAATGTCTTTAAAGAGTATGTATTAGTTAAGGAGTATTATCCAATCTATGGACTTACAAAAACTATATCAATCAATGAATAAAGGGTTTTGTACGAAAGAAGGAGTAGTAGGTTAGTATTGGATTATACCAGAGTTATGTTAAGTTATGGTGATTTATAGTGAATTTAGATATGAACTATGTAACCTAATTTGAATAAAGTCTTTAGTTGTATTTATGTCTATAAAAAGATAAGATAAGATTAAGTAAAGTTTATGTAATATATCGTGTATTTAGTTAAGTATCACCAACTCAACTCAACCTAACTCAACTCAACCCAACTCAACTCAACTCACCCCATACTAATTGGGTTGGTGAATTGGTTAGCGAATGGTTAGTTTGAGAGTGTTTCCTTTTATAGATAGCTGGCAAGGCGGTCGGACACGGCGGCGGAAGAGTTCCGAGGGCTTGTTTGGTGGTGCTTGGGCTTGAGTGAATGTAGCAATACCGAGAAGAATGATTAGCGTGGGGGCAATCCATTTTTTAGCAGTTCTAGAGTTAATGAGCATGTTACTCCTATGGAGAGAAACTCTTTATAGTTCTAAGTTTTGATAGGCTGGTTAGTTGCCCAATAAGGAAATGGGGCGAGTTGGTTTAGTTGGAAAATGATTAATGCTGAGTTAGAGAATTAGGCAGTGTTTTATCTTGTTAGAACATAAGCCAGACTGTTTATTGTTACAAATTAGATAGGTTAAGATAGGGTTTGGTTAAGATTTGGTTTGGGTGAGTTGTGTTGAGTTGAGATTGTATTGAGATGTATTGCAGTGGAAGGCACAAAAATAAACGAGACTTGGCTTGAATTAGTATTGAACTGGTGCTGGGAAGATCTATTCTTTCTTTGGCTTGGATTCTTTGGGGGAAGGATTGGCTGGCTTGGCTGGAGTAGCGGACTTATCGGAACTGCTGGACTTATCATGGTCATCAAGATCGGTGTCTTTATGGGGGTTTGGAGAGGATTTAGGTGCATCTTTGTGTGAATCCTTGGGCGAGTGTTTAGGTGCATCTTTGTGTGAATCCTTGGGCGAGTGTTTAGGTGCATCTTTGTGTGAATCCTTGGGCGAGTGTTTAGGTGCATCTTTGGATTGGGCCGATGGTGAAGTACCAAGGATAATCGCAGTGTTGGCCGAATTGTTGGCTTCGGAAGGATTAGCTGAATCAGCATCCGTATTAGAGGAAGAAGAAGGCCATAAGTTTTTGAAGAAGTTAATGATAGCCGTAAATATACGCATGATGATGTTAGGTTTCTTTTCTTCAGATTCGTTTGAATCATTTGGGTCTATTATGGTGGCACAACTGACTAAAGAAAGGCAAAGACCGAGTGTCAAAATCAAGAGCAGTTTTTTCATAGCAACCAAATCCCTTATCTATTTATACTTATATCTTGATCACTATTCTTATCTATCCAATCAAAATATCCCTTCTAGACCGGTCTAATAATCAAGATATGGAGTAACTCTAAGTAAGACCGACTTAATTAAGAGGTTAGTATGGGGTGGAGTTGAGTTGGTATTGGGTTGGTATGGGGTGGAGTTGGGTGGAGTGATTAGTCCTTTATTTTGACGTTCTTGGTGTGGCGGAAGATGTAATTCTCATTGACATCAACGGCCTGGAGTTTAAGCGAAAGTCTTGGGCCTATTTCTTCCAAACGGACTGTTTTGTTCTCTTCATCTGCTTCGGCAACTCTAATTATGTATCGGTGCTTGCGACAAAGAATAAACCCTCGTTTCTTAGTGAAGGAAACGACTTGTCTTCCTTCAAAATCAGGTGATTCTTCAGAAAAGGCATGTTCAATGTCTGAAACTGTTCGTTGATCATTCTCACTCTCATCAAAGTTAGAGAAGACTAGTTCAGGCATATGTCCTGAATCAACTGCCCCATTCAATCGTCGGCACAAAACAAAGGAAACAATTGAGTAGGAACTGGTTGTAATATCTCCATTCTTATCTTTACGGATCATTAAAAGTCGTCTTCGAGAGATATCTTCTTGATCCAATCGAATAATCAGTGCTTCTTCATCACCAACTTCTTCAGCTAAGAAGACCTTAAAAGACCGGCCTTTTCGGGCAACTGGTTCAGCCCCTGGGAAGAGTCCTTCTAGGTCTAAAAGAAGTTCTTTAGTCTCAGCCGTTAACTTACTATTACTCGAAGTAAGCAGAATTTTCATAGACCGCAAATTCTCTATCACAATAAACGTATTTGGTTAAGTAAGATAGTGTTATATTGGGTTGGTGTTTGGATTGTGGTGGTTTGTGGTGGGTTTGGTTGGTGTTTAGTATTGGATTGAATTGAATTAGAAGTAAGATGAATAAAGCTTTATTATGATTCTGGTTACCAAATTGGATTAGGATGTCATATCACTAAATTATTACACTAAGTCAGCACTAGATGGTTATACTATTACATGTATGTGTTATTGAAAAGTATACATTAAATAGTCATTAAGTTGGGATTGGGTTGGTATGGAATGTAATGGAATAGAATGGTATGGAATAGAATGGGGTGTTTGAAGTGCTGGTTCTTTTTTGGCTAGTAATGTGATTAGAATCATTTTGGCGGGTAGATGTAGTGACTTCTCTAGTGCTAATTTACTAATCTAACTTAATACTATCATAATACTAACATAATATTAATCCAAAACTAACTCAACCTAAACCTTAATACTACCTAAATAGGGTATAGCTAGGACATACACTAGAAGGGCCCTAGCATATATTCTGTTTTACTATTGTTTACTATGGCGCAAAACAGAGGAAAGGAGAAGGCAAAAGGCCTATCGTTTAAGTCCCTTAACAAAACACAGTTAGTTGCGATTCTTGAAGCGGCTGGAGTCACAATACCTGATAAATCAGCTAAGAAAGATACTTTAGTGCGATTGTGCCAACGACATAAAAAGCAAATTGAGAGTGAGTCCGAAACTATTAGTCCTATTTTACAAGCTGCTCCTAAGAGAAAGAGGGCCCCTAAGCTTTCTGCCAATGCGCCATTAGTTAGTAAACGCAAGTTGCCAGCTAATCAGTCGCAGAAACGAACTAAAAGAGAAGTTGAGAAATCACAACCAACTGAAGAGTCCCAGTCAGTTGAAGAATCTCAACCTGAAGTTGTTACTGCGCCAGTGAAGAGTAAAGGCAATACAAGTAGTAAGGCCATTCGGCCTGCCGTTCATATAGTTCGATCACCAACTCTTAAAAAGACTACCTCTAAGTCCACTAAAACTGATACAAGCATCAAGAATTCTGAATCAAACTCAAATCAAGAAACCACAACAAACAGACAAGATGAGGTACTAGAAAAGGCAGAAAATCTTTGTTCCAGTAGGGAAAGAGCTATGTCCTTTATGCTTAAGTATGGAAGGGGAATCTACATTGCAATGTCGTTTGCCATTATCCTGGGGTTGGTTCTGCATAGTCACTATCGTGTGGCCGTCAAAAACCAAGAGAGTTTATCTCAGATCGGTTGGTGGAGTGCATTAAAAAGCAAGATAGCGACAGGTCATGAACAAAGACGCAAACGAGCAGTAGAAATCAAGCGAATGGCAGAGGAAAAGCAACGTGTGGCTGAACAGAAGCGATTGGATGAGCAGAGACGTGTGGCTGAACAGAAGCGGATTGCTGAAGAGAAGAGATTAGTAGAACAGAAGCGATTAGAAGAAGAGAAACGCGTGGCCGAGGAGAAACGACTTGCTGAAGAGAGGCGACTTGCGGAAGAGAAACGCGTTGCTGAAGAGAAGCGTGTGGCAGAAGAGAAGCGACTTGCGGAAGAGAAGAGATTAGCTGAAGAGAAACAACTTGCTGAAGAGAAACGTGTGGCTGAGGAAAAGCGATTGGCAGAAGAGAAACGGATTGCAGAGGAAAAGCGATTGGCTGAGGAGAAACGGATTGCTGAAGCTAAGCGACTTGCAGAAGAGAGGCGGATTGCAGAGGAGAAAGCAGTTAAGGAGGCTAAGCTGGCCGAAGAGAAGCGAATTGCAGAGGAGAAAGCAGTTATGTTGGCCAAGGAAAAGGCAGCAAAGCTGGCTGAAGAGGAGAAGATTGCAGAAGAGAAAGCTGCCGCTCTGGCTGAAGAGAAACGAGAAGCGGAAGCCAAAACTGCTGAAAGGAGGGCAGCAGAGTTGGCGGAAGCAAAGAAAGCGGCCGAAGAGAAAGCACTCGAAGCGTCTAAACGCCTTGCCGAGGCCAAACGAGCTGAGGAACTGAAGCAACAAAAGGCTATTACTGAACAGAAAGCCGCCGCTGACCAGGCAGAGAAAACCAATGCTATTCTGAATAAGCCTATCTCCACTAATCAAGCAAAAAGCAGGCAGACCGCCAAATCCATTAAACCCGCGTCTTTAGGGAGTAGGGTTTGGTACTATACCAAGTTCGGTTTGAAGATCATCAAGATTACTTGCATCATTCTCTTTGTTGGTGCGATAGGTCTATTTGCACTTCTGTGTGTGTTACACAAGAGGTTTGTGCGTAGGAGAAGAATAGAAGAGTACACTGCCTACCTAAAGAAACACATTAGCAAGAAGAGTAAGCATTTACTTCCAATTTCGACCATTAAAGAGCTTAGAGAGGAATATGCCACCTTATCTAACTCAGAATGGCGGGCTTTGTGTAAACAAATGATCTTAGATAGCAATATTAGAGAAACCTATATATCACGTGATACTAAATTAGAGAGGGCTTGGGAATGGGTTGGTACAACCGCGTAAGCAATGTTTTGAATTGACAGTAAATGGGTGTTAGTAAGTAAGACACTAGTTAATAAAGATTCAGAAATTGGTTTAATTGTATTAAGTTGGTATTGAGTTGAGTTTAGTTTGGTATTAAGTTGAGTTTAGTTTAGTATAGTAATAAGATGGTAATAAGATGGTATTACTATTTGTGTAATTGGAATTTGAATGTATCGTAAATGATTTATTGGTTATTATGAACACGTTTTGGCCTATCTATTGCACTCTTTCTTGTGAGGGTTCTTTTTAGCGTTCGCAGCTCTTTCCTGAAGTAACCAAGTCCCAAGAGTTTCTCTTTCTTTCTTCTCTTGGGCAACTGGCTTCTTCATGAACCGAAGTTGTTTCAAGTTATTACTAATGTTCATAAAAAGAGAAAAGCCACCTGTAGCTGTTATATTTGGTTAAGTTATGTTTAGTATTGGGTTGGGTTGAGTTAGTATTGGGTTGAGTTGGGTGATGTGGTGTGGTGTGATGTGATATAGCTGTATATTGTATTGGGTTCGTGTTAACCCAACTATACATTAACCCAAATACTGTCTAATCACTACTTAATTAGTGAATGACATTGCCATATTCATTCGACTCCGCACTTACACCACAATTCAATTAGATACTAAATTCAACTCAACTCAACCCAACCCAACCCAACTCAATACTAAACATAACTCACCCCAATAAGAACGCTAACTTAATTAAAAACTATCTTAAACCTAATCTATTTATTGGTTGTTGAGTGCTTCGGTGCAAGTGGCAATGCTGTCGGCCGGGCCCTCCTTGTTTTTGAGTCCTTGATAGACCGGTTCGGTGTACTCGACAACTCCATGCTTGCTGGCTAAGTTGAAGCCGTCAAAGATAAAGAGCTCTTGCTTAATGGCATTGGGCTCGGTCGGGTTGGGATTGTCGGCACAGGGAATTTTCTTGTGGGCCTGGTGGTAGGGAAGATAGGAACTATCAATACTTTTGAGATAGTCAATCCGAACGATATGGTTGGCAATGTTGCCTAATGGAGCTCCATTCGATCCTTTAAGAACTTCGCCTTGTGGTTGGTCGGTATATTCGCATATTTTGACGCTTTCCTGGCCTTGGGCATCTTGACTCGGCATGAAGACACCCATACTAGCCCCAGCTGGAATAGGCACGGCGGCTGATACTACCTGAAGGTGCTCACTAGCCATCCAACCAAGCATAATTGGATCCCCAATCCGAACTAAGACATTATCAATGGAAATAATGTTCATGTAGATAATGCCAGCGCGTTCCAAGACCTTTAAGATACACTCAGATTCAGAGCGCACTTCACTCGCCGAAAGAACAGTATATCCTTTCTTCTGCAGTGTTACAAAGACTGAGCCATTCCCATTAGCAGCCAGAACAGGCTTGCCATCCAGTCCTTTCAGAACCTGTCCGTCCAGTGTAAGTGCTTCCGCCTCTTCCTGCTCAATAAGAAAGACTGTTTCTGAACCACTCAGAACTCGGTCTTGAAAATGAGCTATAGTAGCTGCACGAGTACTAGGCGAGACCATGATAAGCCAAGGCATTCCCCCTACCTTTTCTTTCTGTCTTTGGAAGAGAGAAGCCTTCCTTCCTTTCGCTACAATTTCAAAAGCACCTTTTGGACCATCAAAACCAAGTCTAGAACCAGCCCCGCCAGCCAGAGTTAAAACACAAAGTTCGCCCTGGGCCTTAGATGCTTCGCCAATTAATTGGGCTTTTTGTCTGTCCTCTACTGCACTGTCATGTAATACGCTACCCATCAAAAGCATGTGTTTATTTGTTATATAATGCAAACAAGAAACATCTAGTCCGTAATGGGTTACTCTATTTGGTAATAAAGGAATCCATTTTCCTATTTGAGAAATATCTCATTCCTCTCTTTGTATATGTATAGGTGATTGACTAGAGTTATGAGCCACGGAGGAAGTGTATCGGCAAAGAATCTTATGATACATAGTGCTCTCTTTGAGATACACAGTTGCCAGAAACAAGGTGCAAGTATTCGCGAGATTCTTGGACGAGTAACCTCGCTCTATCGCTACTCGCTACTGGAAGTGACTAATGCACGGCTTTGTATTCGCCATCTCCTACAGGACAGATCCATGCTGGCTGAAGATACAGTTGAACTCTTTCGAGTCTGTTGTATTCTCAGTCGCAAGTACTGGCGAGACACTGCAGAGAAGAACTTAGTGCAAGCTGAACCTTGTCAGTTGCTACGTCTTAATGATCTTGAACGTCGTATTCTGTTAGTGCTTAACTATGCCATTGGCATGCCTGCCACTGCTATTCAGCAAGAGATAGCGATGGAGCTCAATTTAGATCGAGTCTACCAACGCGCTATTGCCGGGCATAAGAAGCAGGGCCGATAAGTATATAATTGCCCTGCAAACTGTCCATCTAAATAAATCAAAACAATCTAGTGAGTTAGTGTGGAGTGGAGTGGAGTGGTGTAATGTGATGTAATGTGATGTAATGATGTATTATGTAGGTATGAAGTGGTATAATGTGACAAGTAATGAAATACTATGTAGATATGATTTAGTAGATGATTTGTTTTGTTTGTGTTTTGTTTGGATTAGATTGTATTGTATTGGTCTTGTGTTTGTATTGGTTTTGATTTGTTTGTTAGATGATAAACATTGACAGTTTGGGGTGGTGTTGGTATTGAGGTGGGATTGGGATGGTGTTTGACTGCCGAATTATTTGACTTCTGATTGGAGAGTGGCTCGTGATGGTTCTGAAGAAGGCATTTGCTCTGGAATTTCGCGAGCGGCTGATCCCCATAATTTCTTATCAATACAACCGTACTTGATAATGATCAGGGCTACTGCTAGCATAGAAAGGACTGTGCCAGCCCAGAACATTGAAACAGCTCCATCAATCGACTCTATCTTATAGAAGAATCCTAAGAAAGCTCCCAACATCCCTCCAAAACAGACAAAAGTACCAGCATAAATCATTTGACTGGTTGACTTAAGGTTACTAGGAACTAGAAGTACAGCTAACTGTACCCCAGATAAGTGTGTCAACCCAAAATTAACTCCTTTCAACATTTCAATCGCACAGGCTTTTTCAAACCGATAAGGATCGGTTGGGGCAATCTTAGTATAACAAAAGAAACGCAAGCCTTGAGCGACTTGTGAAATAAGGAAGGCCCAATAAAGACCAAACCATTGCAAAAGCGTCTTCGACGCAAAGAAGATACCAATTTCCAAAATAACCCCAAAAGTATTACAAGTTGATACAGGGTTCTTATATACAAGAGTCTGAGCTATCCAGCGCAAAGGGCCAGGTACTGACTTAGGCGGAGTGAGTTCATTAAAGTTCAAGATGGTTTTATAGTACGAACTCAAGTAAACAGTTAGTACTCCTCGTGTAATTCCGTTCATCAGAATAATCAGCAAGAAGAACAAGTATGCCTTATTCTTAAGGACTTTAGACAACTGCGGCCGATCACGACGTTGGGACTCTCTAGATACCACTCGATCACGAGGAGCCAGAACAAAAACAGTACCAGCCGCCAAAGCCGCATAAAGAAGATAAGGAATTTGCAGTCGATTGAATCTCTTCTCATTTCCTTCAAAGACTAGCATTTCCGTGATGTAATTAGTGATAAGGTAAGTAAAAGTACCAAAAACACGTTGTCGGCCATAGATAGATGAAGGGGCATTCATGACTTTTTGAAGGTACTCAAGTACAATTCGATCCAATAAAGGGACTGTACATAGAATGAACGTTGAGTAGAGAATGAAGAAGAAACAACAAAACAAGTTAGACAAAGGCAAAAACAAAAGCTGAAAGGTTAAGGCTGAAAGAAGAAGACATCCGATCAACACTAATTTTGGCTTTTGAATCGAATCGGCAAAATAAGCCACTCCCATATTACTAAAGAACGTTACAAACTGCATAGCCATAAAAGTAAAGGTGATCATCGTAGATCCAATTTTGCGACTTTCAAGAAACAAGTGCCGAAAGCTATAAAATAGAAAGTATTCTAAGTTCACCACAATATACATTAGCTTAGGGGTGAGATAAAGCACCGAGTTAATCCTCTTGTAGACCATAACAATGCCCATATTAAAAAAGTATTTTATAGTCCGTATCGCTAATTATTCCTAAAAAGGAAATAACAATGAAATATTATTGAGTTTGAGTTTGTGTTTAGTTTAGATTGGGTTGAGTTGAGTTGGGTTGAGTTGGGATTGGGTTGGGATTGAGTTTGAGTTTAGATTGAGTTTTGGTTTGGTTTGGATTGTATTGAGTTGAGTTGGCATTGGATTAGATTGGATTAGTTAAAGACCTAATTGATTACTTAACTTAGCTTTACTTAATTGATTACTTAACTTAACTTAGCTTTACTTAACTTAACTTAACTTAACCCAATACTTAACTTTACTTTACTTGACTTTACTTAACTTAACTTGACTTAACTTAACTTGACTTGACTTGACTTAACTTAATTGATTACTTAACTTAACTTTACTTTACTTAACTTAATTGATTACTTAACTTAACTTTACTTTACTTAATTGAATACCTAGTTGATGGCGATATGATACTATGTTTATTGCAAGTGCTGAATTGGATTGATTTTAACATATGTTGAGTTAGACTGGTCTATGTTTGCATATGTTGAATTAGACCGGTCTATGTTTGTTTGGGCTGTCTTATCTTGGTATAGTCCAATCTAATCTACTTTATTCCAACTCAATACTAACTCAATACCAACTAAATACTAACTTAACTCAACTCAACTCAACTCAACTCAACTCAATACTAACTCAACTTAACTCAACTCAATCCTAATAACTTATGGCGGTAGGGTTAAGGTTGGACTTCGACCTCATCACGAACGGCCCAGGCAACAGAGTCAAAGACATCCTGGACGTGCTGGGCTAAATCGGCGTCGCCCTCAATGCCGGTTGATGAAAGAACTATATGCTTATTGCCTTCAGTAATTTGTAGTTTGCCATTCTCATAGACAGTTTGGTAATAGTTAGCTAGAATTTGGGCTACACTTTCAAGACAGTGTTTAGGCACACGGGGTGTATCTGCCTTGGCTGGGGCGGTTGGTTCACTTGCATCGGGTGTTTCTAGTGGCTCGGCTGTTTGAGCGGGTCTTTTTGGGGCTTCCACTGTTAGGGGTCGGGCTTGGGCGGCATCACTGGCCGCTTTGATTAAACAGTTGGCCAGAATGTCTCTTTCAAAACTACTCTCCCACTGAACCGATACTCCGGCACTTCCTTCAGCTACAGTTACACCGGCAAAACTAAGTGTGCCTTTGCCTTCTGTGCGGGGTACGCCTGGTAATACAGCAGCTGCTCGAGCTACAAAGGCCGAAAAAAGGACACCACGTACGGTCACTCGTTCTTGAACGCGCATTTCTGATAGGCCTAGTTCGGCTAAACCATCACGAGCCACGACTCGTACTTGGCCATCTTCAGATACATGCACAAACCCTGATAGTTCTTCCTGGGGTGTTTCACCTAGAAGTCGAGCGGCAACTTCTCCAGATCCTCTTATTTCCACCCACTCGCCATTCCGTGGAGTATGCACTGACATATCGGCTGCCCGCATCTCTGCCCGATGGACCAAAGCACTCTTTAAACGTGCCATTTCTGAACTCTCCCCATGTACCAGTACAACCTCCGGGGCTTTGCACCCTTCAATAAACTCAGCATTCTGCATGAAGTCCACGTGCGCGGAAAAGGAAACATAATCTACGGAAGACCGTACGGCAATTCGATGTCCTTTCAAAGAGAGTACCTCTTCCGGCTCACAAAGAAGTTCTTTGGCTAAAGTGCCCTCTACACAGTATCCCGCAATAATACAGCCATTACGCTTATCACCACACCAAAGCTCAAAAAGGTCACGTGAAAGTCCATGTTGCAACATTCCTGGTGAAGCCATTACTACACAAGGCCCTCTATCTTCATAGGCCTCTACATTACGGATACTTTGTACGTACTTAAAGTGAAAAGGATTACTAATTTCAGCCATGCCTTGAATCTTATCGTTCATCATGTTAATGTAAGTCTGGTACACAGCCATACACCGTTTGGCTAAAGCTGAAGCATAAAAGATAGGCACGCCTTGTAAGTCCCGTCTGCTTTCCCAGAACTCATCTAGAATAAGCAGTAACTCTTGTGCTCGTCCTAAGGCAAAGACGGGTAAGAGACACTTGCCGCCTCGTTTGACAATCTCAGCTACACCGGCTGTAAAGCGTGATTCACGCTCTTCTTTGCTCTGGTGGCACTGCACACCATAAGTTGACTCAGCTACAATTACATCTACTCGACTGGGTGGTACTTGCGCGGCCTTTAAGTGTCTGTCTTCCTCCCGGGAGTAATCACCAGTATACAGTAGTGATAAATCATCAGTACGTACTAAAAACATAGCTGCGCCTAAAACATGGCCAGCATTGTAAGCAATAAAGGTAAGTGAAGAAGAAAGACGTATTTCCTGGCCGTAATCTACCGGAATAATTCTATCGTAGCATTGGGCTAACTCTTTCTCAGAGAACAGATCATTTTTAGATGAAGCATTTGAAACACGAACATAGTCATTCAAAAGCCATCTAAAGATAGCTCTAGTTGGATGGGTCATGTAAACTTTGCCTGTAAAGGACGTACGTTCAGTAAAGTAGGGTAAAGCCCCAGCATGGTCCAAGTGAAAATGAGTTACTAGAACAGCATCTATCTCAGCTGGATCGATAAGATCAAAGAAAGGTAAAGAAGAAAGGCCTCCATGAGCAGGATGCACTCCGCAATCAAACATCACTGTTGACCCTCTAAATCGCACAACAACACAAGATCGGCCAACTTCATTACCGGCACCCAGAGGTAAGATACGCGCTGCAGTCTGGTAGAGAGAGTTCTCCATGCGCTTTAAAAAAAGATGCTAGAAGAGCTGAGTAGTGAGCTGAGTAGTAGTACTAATGAGGAGGTTAGTATTGGGTTCGATGACGTAAGTGATTCTGGCTGTTCTGATACTGGCTTGGCTGGTGGTATGTATAGTAAAGGTGGTGTTGATGGTGTTGATGGTGTTGATAGTGCTGATAGTGTTAATAGTGTTGATAGTAAAGGTAAAGGTAATAGTAAAGGTAATGGTAGTGGTAGTGGTAGTGGTAATGGTAGTGGTAGTGGAAAGTTAGGTAAGAATAGGGTAGATAGTGATGATCAAGGTAGTGATGGTTTAAATAGGTCTTTTGTCTGTGCTTATGCGGGATGCTTGAAGAGTTATTCGAAGCCTTCTTTGTTGGAGTTGCATGAGAATACTCATACTGGCGTACGCCCTTTTAAGTGCAGTCGTTGTAATAAGGCTTATTATAAGAAGTCGCATTTACATATACATGAAGTAGCGATTCATACGGCTAAGAAATACAAATGTGAGTTGTGCGGTCGTGAACTTGCAACTCGAGATTCTTTGAAGAAACACTCTGATGTCTGTGGACGAGTGTTTGTCTGCCATTTTTGTCATAAACGCTTTGTTCGAGCGGAGTGGTACATTCGTCATATTAGACAGCATACCGATCCGAATAGTGTGAGTAAGACGGCCAAATCTAGCCAGTGTAAGAAATTAAGTAGTAATAACGTGCGTGAAGTTAGTATGGGTGTTAGAAATGGTAGTATTGATATGGGTGAGGTTAGTAAGGGTGAAGTTGGTATTGATGAAGTTAGTAAGGGTGAAGTTAGTAAGGATAAGATAGACAATGGGGAGGACAAAATAAAGACCGCTAAGATATATAAACCAACCCAACTTAAACCAACTCAACCTAAACTAACTCAATCTAAACTAACTCAACTTAAACCAACTCAACCTAAACCAACCAAAACTGAAGAATTGGACAGTACAAATACCACTGCAACCAATCATATAACTACTCCAAACCCAATACTAACCCTAAATCATACAAATGCCTCTCCACCTACTTCCTCAATCCAACCTCCTTATAATCAGTGCTCTACGTGTGGGAAGTACTTTAAGCTGAAAAAGAACCTCCGGGCCCATGAAGAAGGCGCACATGGCCGGAATAAGTATACATGTCCGGTTTGCCATAATAAGTTCTCGTATCCGGCCACTTTGAGACGGCATATTCAGAATCTGCATAAGGACTATTGTCCCGGGAATAAAAAGGATTAGCTATGCTTACTTTTTGGGTTAGGAATTGGGTTTAGTTTGGGTTTTTAGTAATTGGCTTGTCTTTGTTTAGTAATGACTAAGGTAAGTGAATGTATAAGAAGTATTCAAGGGAGGACTGTATTTGACAGTCGGGGCAATCCAACTACTGAAGTAGAAATGGATACAGATTTGGGAAACGTGCGTGATAGTTGTCCTTCTGGGGCTTCGACTGGATCGCAAGAAGCTTTAGAGCTTCGTGATGGCTCGGGGCCGTGTGGCGGGAAAGGTGTTTGTCGTGCGGTGCAGGGTATTGAAAAGTTAGCCACTCTCGTATTGTTGCAGGACTTCTTGATTACGGACCAGGGAGGTATTGATGAGTTTATGTGCCAAACAGATGGTACACCCAACAAGGCTAATTTGGGTGCCAATGCAATTCTGCCGCTATCCATGGCTTTTGCCCGTTTGGGAGCTATGAAGAAAGAGGCAGCCTTGTGGCAGTACTTAAATGAATTGTATGGCGGTAGTGGGGAGAAGAAGGCGCCTAAGCTTTACTTTAACGTGATTAACGGCGGGGCCCATGCGGATAATGGTCTTTGCATTCAAGAAGTAATGGTTTCATTTGGGGGTGAAAGTGTTTATGAAGTGTTGTGTAATGCTAGTTCCTTTATTGGGGTCTTGAAGAAGCAGGTGTGTAAGAAGTATGGTGGCAGTGGAGTAGGTGATGAGGGTGGGTTTGCTCCGGCAATTGACACTTTAGAGGAAGCTTTGGAGTTAATCAGGGAAACAGAAAAGATATCTAAGATTACAACTGAGATTGCCATTGATGCAGCGGCCAGTGAGTTTTACCGGGCGGGCAAGTACCAAGTTAAACAAGGCGAAAAGCCATTAAGCAGCACTGAACTTGGGGCTTACTATTTGGAGATAGCGCAGAAGTACAAGGTAGCTATGCTTGAAGATCCATTTGCTGAGAAGGACTTTGCCGGATGGAAGGCTTTTCTACCTCTAGCCCAGAAAGCAGGTATTCGGGTGGTTGGCGACGACTTGCTCGTAACTAGTGCTAAGTTGATTCATTGGGCCGGACAGGAGAAGTTATGCGATGTGGCCTTAATCAAGATGAACCAGGTCGGAACAATTACGGAAACTATTCGTGCAGTGCAGGAGGCTCGCAAGCAAGGGATGCGCATAATGGCCAGTCACCGCAGTGGCGAGACCGAAGATACTTTCTTGGCCCATTTAGCCGTTGGTTTAGAGGCTGACTTTTTAAAGTCCGGCTCATTGTGTCGCACAGAGCGCATCTGCAAGTACAATGAGCTGCTCCGACTCTTTGAGTCTCCGCACAAGACCTGCCCGCAAACTAACCGTCAGCAATAAATGCATTACGACTTATTTTCACTACTACTTACACTAACCTAATACCAACCCAATACTAACCTGTTCAGGCGGATATCAAAGAAACAAAAGACATATTCACATTTAGATCTTTATAAATTGTTAACTTACCAGTTAAGTCCGAGCAGCCGTACTGATTGAGCCGAAGCTGTAATAGTTATGAATAGGTTACTTTTGCTTGGTTTCTACATTAAGCTGGGCACTTTCAGTGGAGGGCGCGTCTTTGCCCACCATACGGAAGGTCAAGAATCCTGACCCAGAGAAGATCGTTACCAGTCCAATGACAAAGTTTCTAAACTGGCTTGGCGTGAACATGGCAAAGTCCTTGAAGTAAATGCCGGCTGTAGTCACACTCGTTACTGTCCACAGAACATGGAAGACCGGGATAACCAGCAAGGCATCGTACCTCTTCAAAGCACGATTCAGCCAATAAATCTGACCAACTGTGCACAGCACAATCATTCCCAAGAAGAAGTACGGCCCCAAGCCCAAGAACTGGTTCTGTCCTGAAAAGCTCAAGGCAATCATCTCCCCAAAGCTCTTTGCAAACAGCGTAGTAAATGAGGCAATGCCGGCCGACAGTCCCACATAAACAAAAAGCATGGCATACTTCAGCTCCCAACCATTCCTAGTGAACTTCTTATCTAGCACCACCCAAGGCACTGTCTCATCCATCCGCCACTCGCTGTTCTCCTCAACCACCCGGGCCACCACCCACAACGAAGCAATCACCAGCAACAGGGCGGCAAACCAAAGTAAAGTTCCCAAAGACAGGTACATTTCCAGTAAAGCCCCAACCGTATGATGTCCTCCTTTACCGCCCCCGGCATTACTAACAATCACCGAAGACCCAATCAGCACCAGTAGAATAGCCATTAAATCATAAACCGTAAAGACTTCCCGATTAATCAAAGGCGCAAATATACTATTGGCCACCAAGCCCACTGCTCCTAAGGAGGCCATCAAAGACTGGTTGCCAAAAGCGTACGAACTAAACCCAGAAACTTTCCCTAGAATGTACACCCCTACTCCAAACAAGAACACATTAACTCCCACCCCGTACACATCCACTACCGGTACAGCGTAAGACCGTTTCTGAAAGTTCAACCCAATGTTAATGAACAAGTTGCCCATTACCGAAAGCAAAGGCCCTAGCACCCAGCGCTTCCCAAAAGAAGGAACACAAACAGCACCATTCCCACCTTTCCGACACACGAACCCATTCACACACCCACTCACTCCATCCGGCCGTTCCGCCGCACAAGCAGCTCCACTCGGCACAAATTGACAACAAAATCCCTCCTTACACTTCTTCGTACATGCCAAAGCCCCAAAGAAGGGAAAAGATGCACACTCACTCGCCGCCTTACAAGCCACGCCCGGCGCCTTCAATTGCGCACATTCCCCAGCCACACAGAACAAACTATGAACTCCCCGCCGAGACGAAAGATTACAATCACTATCTTTCTGGCACTGCTGCGCCACCACCAGACCAAATACAACTATAACACTCCCCCAACGCACTCTTTGCACCCATCGCAACCATTTATCCCCATGCATGCCTAACACTAACCCATACAAACAATCAATCCTTTTTATTTTTCATGGTTGACACACCTCCTACGTGGAAAGACAGAGCTGAATCTTATAAAAGAGCCGAAACAAAATGGAACCGAAAAGCTTCCCCAGATTTAGCCCTAATTAGCGAGATTTGTCGGGAAAGTTCGATTCCCGCCTTAGAAGCAGGTTTATTAGCCCTAGTACCACTAGCTCAGCACAATCAACTTGGAGGTAAAGAGAAAGATGTCTTAACTCTTCTCTTTAAACAGATCAATACGACTAAGCCGAGTATGAAAGCTTCAATTAAGAAGATCTTTAACTATTTAGCCCAAACAAATGCCGAATTACTAGTCCAGTTAAGTATTAGCCCAATTACAGGCAAGAACCCGAAAGTAGCCAGTGAGAGTCTTAAAGTCTTAGTAGAGTCACCAACTGAAGAGACTCTTCCTTATCTTTTTGAGCATATTTTACCTTTAGCTGCTTATCTCTTTGCCCATGGCACAGGTAGTGTTAGAGAAGAAGCCACGCGTCTCTTCCAAATTCTAGCCGAGAAGGACCCCGAACGAGTTGATGAGGCCACCCAAATGCTCCGACCGGTTCAAGTCAAAGAAATCTTCCAACCTCGAGTTGTCCAAGCAACTACTGCGTCATCTGCAGCAGCAACTACTACTGCGGCATCTACATCTACTAATCCAACTACTACTACTGCATCATCTACCAATCCAATACCACCTCAAACCACCCCAACTACTACTACGTCATCTACCAATTCAATTCCACCCCAATCTAATCCAACCACAACTACTACATCTCAACCCAATCCAATCCCACCACAACCCAACTCAATACCATCTCAATCCAAATCTACTTTGGCGAGTAAACCCCAGAAGATAATACCACTACCTAATAACTTCTTTGAACGGTTTACAGCTACAGATTGGAAGGAGAGATTAGTCAGTGAAGAACTAAGTGATTTATTAGGAGATAAAGGTGATAAGACTCTTTCTCCAGTTGATACAGTTGCAGTTATTGATGCGGCTTTAAAAAGAGTTACAGAGAGCAACATTAAGGTCTTTATTGCCGTACTGAGTGTAATTAGGAAGTGTTTGTCGAAGAGTGTTCCAGAAGGACTGGTTAAGGAGTTGATTAAGAAGATGGGTAAGCGGTTGAAGGATAAAAAAGAACAAGTTTATCAGGCAGTTGGTTTAGTGATTAGTCGGGCCTTAGAGGTTTATTTTGTAGCTAGTTTTGATGAGGTAGTGTTGTTGTTAAAGACGGAAAAGTCATCAAGATCTCGTATTTTGCCTATCTTAATTACTGCTTTAGATAATGTTCAAGAAAGTGATATTAGTCGTAGTGAAGTTCTTCCTTTGATTATTGAGTGCTGTAATGAGTCTAGTCCAGAAACTCGTAATTTAGCTGCTGCTGCTTTAGCCCTGATCTTTTGTAAACGAGGTGATCCTTCATCCCTAGCGGAAATAGAAGCATTAGGAGTTGAACGGATGGTAGCACAGAAGGCCTTAGCTCGATTGGACGAACTATTCCAACAAAAAGAAGCTGAGATAACTCAGATAGTAGATTCACTTTGTGAAGAGATCCGGAATACTACTATTACTCAGGACCAAGCACCTAGTCCAGCTATTCCAGCTACACCGATCAAAATGCATCCAGCTAATAACAATGAAATTGAATCAAGTCCTCTTATCACTCGCGCCCAAACTCCAATTGGAATTGCTTCTACGCCTCTCAATACAACGCAATACCAAACTAATTCTACTCCACCTAACTCCAGCCATCCTAATCACACTATCCCACCAAATTCAACCCACTCCAACCCAATACTAACCCACTCCAACCCAATACTAACCCAAGAAGCTCTCAATAACTGTCCAGGACCTTATAATAACTCAATTCCCTGTACTTCTATTCTGGCCTTTATTGAATCGGGTTATCTTATTCCAGTAGAAATAACAGAACTAGTGGATAGATTGGGCCGAGATGCAATGGCTGATATTCGTATTATAAGTATTCTCCAACACGTTGGTATTCCAGAAGGTGAGCTAAAACGAGTGGCAGATAAACTAGCTACTCTGACTTGTGCTGATGTACAAACTAAAGTGCAAATAGAAGCTTTGCGAGCGCGAATAGAACGAGCCTTAGGTGAACGCACTCTTTTTGAGGAGAAATGCGCTCGAGCAGCTCTGATGGAGAAACTTGCAACGGGTTTAGCCGTTAGTGAAGAGGAAATCCTTAACGTACTGACTTCTTTATCACGACGGTCACTTATTCTGCGAGAAGATGAAGCTAGACTAGTTATTCAGGCGGCAGTCCAAGCTGAGTATCGCCGGATTCCCGAGATAATGGAGACTATTTTTCCTCTATCAAAAACCTTATCTATTTGTACTGAACTAGCTACTGATATGCCCGGGGCTCTATCTTTCCTCTTATCTCTAGTGGAGAAGTGCCAAGGTCTTTCTTATGCTCCTATTGAGAAGAGTCTCGCCCAGCCGGGCTTTATTGCTCTTCTGGAGCGCATTAATACGCCAACGGCCTGGAAGATCTTAGGACTAGTTAAAACAGGCTCAGTGCCACCAACGGCTTCGCCCTGTCCTAAAAGATTCCGAGCAGCCCAGGAAGATATAGATATTAATGGTTTACTTAATGATATTATAGATCAAGATACAGAGAAGGCTAAATCATCTTTAGAACGTTTAGATCTAGCTACTACTGATAATTTAACTAGTTTAATTGAAAGTGCCTCTACCTTGGTCAATGTCTTACTTCTGCAATTAAATGATGTTCTCTCCTCAGGAGTAAATACGCATCCTAGTACGGCAGTTATTCTACGGATTTTAAAACGAGTAGGGGCCAGTGAACGGTTCTTAGCCGCCCTTGATGCAGGTACTTTACTTAGCTTAACTTCTGATTATATCATGATTGTCACGGGACAGATGCCACGAGGACTACCAGCACCAGAAAGTATTCGTAAAGAGTGCGGTGAATCTCTTATCAAAATATGTACGACTGGTCCATGTGCAGCTATGTTCAAGATCTATATGACTTTGCTTAGTAGTCGGTATAAAGAAGAGAAAGTCCGTGAAGTTTTGGTCAAACTAGTTTGGAAGCACTCAAAGGTTTCTATTGGGTTCTTAGGGGACAAGAAAATAGTTACTTCGCTTATTGCTAGTCTGAATACTTTCTATAGTACAGTTAAGGGTGAGGTAACTAGTGATCCGTTGATTTCTAAGGTTCTGCATTTACATCTGATTGAGATTCTTAAGTACTATGGCGAGGAGTTCGTGCGGCTTTTCAAGGTTTCCGGTCCCGTTCTTACTCAAATTCAAAGTCTAGCCGGATAAGTTAAGTTTAGGCGGTGTATCGCTAAGTTTAGGCGGTGTATCGAGTTGGGACAGTTTAACTTAATACTATCGCAATCTAATAAACAACTAGTAAGTATTTCATTATAACCTTATCTGAGTAGATCAAGTTAGTATTAGTGTGGTGTTCAATAAGAAATAGTTCCTATGACTAGTACATACTCTATTAGTGACATACCTCGATACGACATACTTATACTTGACCATTTAGTGAATATAGACGATGATATGACGTCATACTCAAATTTTGATAATCTCTAAGTACCCCTTAACATGTGATACCACCCGAATTCTCTACTAACCCAATACCAATACCAATACGTATGCAATCAATAAACGACTTAGTATGAGGAAGGAATAGTGGTTGTGTAACGGCACTACATCCAGTAAATAGCAAGTCAACCCAATAAGGTTATCTTTGAAGAGGAGGGTAAGTATTGAGTTAGTATTGAGTTAGTATTGAGTTAGTATTGAGTTAGTATTGGATAAGTTGGGTCTTCAGCACTAAGTACTAAACTTACATCTAAATTCTTATCAAAATACACACTAACTTAACATAAGTACACAATATCAACTCAACCCAAACCAAACTTAACTAAACTCAACCCCACACAACACAACTTAATATGAATATAAGCACAATTTATTCTTATCTTAAGTAGATAGATACTACGTCATAACGGGCTATTGCAAAAATTTGATGATATCCCGACGAATTAGACGCGAACGTAAAGAATGGTTAGATACGGCCAGGAGTGAAGAAAGAAGAGTAGCAGCAAAAAAGAGGAGAGACCAATTATATGCTGCTTATGAAAGAGAAGCAGTTGTTCCCAAAGAAATTCGCCATGAAATCGCCGAAGGTAAACTTACAGCCGAAGAAGCTCTTCAAGAAGCTATCTATGCCAGTGGAGAGTTAGAAAAAGAAGATGAATTCACCAATCAAGAAGAGCCTCGACCAATTATTACTACTTCTCGTTCACCTTCTGATCCTCTAACTAGATTTGCTAAGATGCTTAAACATCTCTTTCCTAATGCCGAGAAGATCAATCGTGGTAAGCACATGATGAAAGAGTTAGTTACAATGGCCATTGAAAAAGGACATACTGATTTAATTATGGTTAATGAACATAAGGGTAATCCTTCTTCTTTAGTTATTTCCCACTTACCACACGGTCCAACGGCTTACTTTTCATTGCACCATGTAGTGACTACTGAGACAGAATCAAGCAGTGGAGCTAATCCAGCTCTTATTTTTGATAACTTAACTACTCCACTAGGTCTACGTATTAAACGGATTCTATCTTCACTCTTCCCGGCTTTAACACCACGAGAGAAGCCGAAGAAGATAGTTGCTTTTGTTAATCGGGAGGACAGTATCTTCTTTTCTCAGTATAAGAGTAGCTTTGCCCAAGGTATTCCTACTTTGGAGAAGATCAGTCCGTCTTTCACAATGAAGCTTTATGAGATAAGAGCAGGCACTCTAGAGATGGACTATGCCGATAAAGAGTTCGTTTTCCGGCCATATCTTAACACGGCTCGTAAGAAGCTCTATCTTGGAGAAGAACTAGATGATTTAAATTAGCCATACATTTAATTGAGTTGAGTTGGTGTTGGGTTTGGGTTTAGTTTGGTTTAGTTTAGATTGGGTTTGGTTTAGTATTGGGTTAGCCCGATTTGGTATTTCATATTAACTTAACTCAATCTAATCTAAACTCAATCTAATCTTAATTCAATTAATATAGTATTTAGAGTGGCAAGCCATAGAAGAGACTATGTCCAGAGCAAATAAATCAGTAATAAAACAACATCCATTGGTATTATGTATTGAGTTGAGTTGAGTTAGGTTGAGTTAGTATTATGTTAGTATGTGATTGGGTTGAGTTAGTATTGGGTTAGGTTGAGTTGAGTTGGTGATTGGGTTAGCTTAATCTAATCTAAACATAACATAACATAACTTAATCTAAACATAACATAATCTAATCTAAACTTAATCTAAACATAACATAACTCAATATTACCCCAACATAATCTTAACTCAACACAACCTAACTTAACTCTATACTAGCCACTGAACTATCCTTATAGTACTACTCTAAGACCATTATAAAACTATCTTAATACTATCTAAACCTATTCAAATACTCGTCTCAGACAACACATATATATTATTTCTTTTATTTAGAGGAATGCACATTGAAACTCTACTTATAAACCAGTATAGATCTATTCCTATAGTTAGTCGACTCTTCTTTACAATAAGTATTTCTCTGACTCTTTTGACTTATCTAGATTTTATTAGTCCGTACAGCTTGATATACTCATGGGCACACCTGCAGAAACTAGAGATATGGCGGGCTTTAACTACTTTCTTCTACTGGGGACCGGCTAGTCTTGACGTCTTCATTCACCAGTTCTTTATGCTCAAGTATTGTGTTATGTTGGAAGAAGCCTGTTCAGATCCATCGGATTTCCTTTATCTACTGATAGTAGGTATGGCTTTGATCTTTGGTATGGGTAATATCTTAGGTATGGCTAAAATGTCTAATGCCTTATCTACTTACATTATCTACATTTGGAGCAAAAGGAATCCCTTAATTCTTGTTCAGTATATGGGTCTATTCAATCTACCGGCCTACTATGTACCTTGCATTATGTTCCTCTTCTCTTTCATTGTAGAGAAGAAGCTACCCCAAAGTGATTTAGTCGGTATAGTAGCTGGCCATATTTACTTCTACTTTAAGCATGTATATGTCAAGACTAGTACTTCTGAGCCTTTACGCACTCCTTTGCTTTTGAAAAGACTCTTCCAGAAGCCTAAATCTACTTCAAATTCAAACACAAACGGTCAAAGTCGGTCTTCACCTACTCAAAATAGTCCCAATAATTCAGCTACTTCTCTTAATTCAAGTCGTATTCGTACTTTAGATGATATTCAAGCCAATGGCTAAATAAACTTTGCAATTCTGTCTTTTACATGTCTAAGAGAAAGCGCATTGATTCAGATAGTGAAGATGGCCAATATAAAAGTAACAAGTTTGTCGATGTTGAAGCTTCAGAGTCCGATGATGAAGATGAAGGTTTAAGTGATTTTATTAATGAAATAGCTGAAGAGGCCGAGTCAGAGTCACTTATTGCTGATACGGAAGAGTCGGGCGAGGAAGCAGAGCCCGTAGAAGCGGCTGAATCTGAGTCGGAAGGATCAGAAGAACCATTTGAGGAGTATACTAAAAAGATTGAGCGAAGGTACAGTGCAGCTGAAGCCCGATTAGAAACAGAAGAGGTTCCTCAGCAAATGTTATTACCAACTGATAAGCATCCACGACTTTGGCTAATCAGATGTTTACCTAAAAAGGAAAAGTCTTTGGTTTTAACTATTATGCGTAAAGTTGTTAATTCAGAAACAACAGATAGTCCTATTAATATTACTGGTGTTCTTTTCAATGAATCGGCGCCAGGATATATCTATGTAGAAGCCTATCAAAAACAACAAGTTCTTCAGGCGATTGAAGGAGTTACAGGAGCTTTTCGTACTACTATTGTGCAAGTTCCAGCTAAGGAGATGGCTGATGCCCTGATAGTTAGTGAAACTGATCCTATTGTTTATAAACCGGGTAGTTTACAATGGCTTACTAAAGGTAGATATGCAGGCGACTTAGTGCAAGTAGAAGGACCTGGCCAGGAACGGGGTATGGTAGCTGTTCGGATTGTTCCCCGACTTGGTGCCCAGAATAAGCAAGCTCTATTCAGTCCCGAAGACTACCATCCTTCTGAAGTCTATAAAGTAGCCAAGAACAGTTATGTTTATAAGAAAGAGACTTATACCGATGGATATTTACTTAAAGACGTACCTACGGCCCATTTAGTCCAGACGCCTACACCAACAACTGAGGAAAGAAGTTGGTTTAGTGAAGGATCGGTGAAAGAGCCCGTCCGTGTGGCTAAAGGCGAGTTTGTAGAAGTAATTCAAGGGGCACTTAAAGGTGCTTCTGGAATTGTCATCAGTACGGGTTCAGATGAAGTTTTGATTAAGATTGGTGAAAGGAAAGTAGCTCTATCTCTTTTTGAAGTCCGTAAGAGATATGCTGTAGGAGATGAAGTTATTGTTGTTTCTGGTCGTAAAAGAGGTAAAAGTGGGTTTATTCTAGGCTTAAATGGTGATCATGTTCGTATTGCTATTGATGGGTTTTCCGAAGAAATTGAAGTTCATAGTGATGAGATTAAACTAGGTAGTGTTCCTACTGAGCGAGTTGCACCGGCCAAGAGTCTTATTAGAGAAAGAAGAGATCCATTACTCAACCGATCCGGTTCAATCATTGCCGGTGAGCATAAAGGTAAACGAGGTATTGTTAAGGACGTGCAAGGCAGTACTCTCCGGATTCAACTCATTGCTAATCTTAAGTACGTCACTGTCCCTCGTGACTATTTCGAGCAACAAAAGAGATCCGGCCCCACCCGTACTCCCCACCATCCCGAAAGAAGGTTCCATGAAGGCAATACCACTCCAATCCATGAGGGCAATACCACTCCCGTCTCCCATCCCATCGATTCTACTCCCCATGAATACCCCGACTTCTCCTAACCCAATACCAAACACCTACATATAATGTTACTCCATATCTTATTTCATTACCAAATCCATATCTTATTTCATTACCATATCTTATCTCACCTCACTACTAAATCCATATCTTATCTCACTACTAAATCCATATCTTATCTCATTACCATATCTTATCTCATCACCACTACCAACTCAATAAATTATATAACTCTGTAAACTTTCTCTATCAACCCAAATCCAACCACACTATCTATCTCAACCCAAGATCAAACCACACTATCCCTTTAATCAATAAACTCATTCCCATTCCATTCCATCCAATCAACCACTCACTCAACCCAAATACTAACCCAACTCAACCACTCAATCAACCCAACTCAACCCAAAACCAACCCAACTCAACCCATTACCACCTACCCCAACTTAGTCCTACTCTAATACTTAACTTAACCCAACCCAACCTATCTACAACCCCTGTAGATACACAACCAATTTGCATAAATCTGAAATATTTGTTGTCCTTGAAGATGCACCAGCAACCCCACCACCAGCAGACGAATTCTGTAAAGCGGATTATGAAAGAGTTAAAGGATATAAAAGAGACCGAAGCAAGTATGACTGGTGAAGGTTCCGAACGAATCCTTTTCATTGCCCCAGTCGATGACTCAGATCTATACAATTGGAAAGGAAGAATTTCACCTCCTAAAGGCAGTAACTATCATGGCGGGACTTTCTATCTAGATATTAAGTTCCCTACTGACTATCCTTTTAAGCCCCCTCGAATTCGTTTTCTAACTAGAATCTTCCATCCTAACATTAATACCAATGGAACAATCTGTTTGGACATTTTGAGTGAGAAATGGTCGCCTGCTTTAACTATTACCAAAGTAATGATGTCCATTTGCAGCTGGCTAGATGAGCCTAATCCAGACGATCCTCTTGTTCCGGACATTGCTTCTTTGTGCAAGCTAGACCAGAAGATGTACAAAGAGAAATGCCGGGAATGGACAGAGAGGTATGCCATGGATAGATCAGGCGATATAGAAGAATGGAAGAATTTATAGGAATAAATATGGTATTGCGTTGAGTTAGTTTAGTATTGAGTTGGGTTGGTGTTGAGTTGGGTTGTGTTGAGTTAGTTTGGTATTGAGTTAAGTTGAGTTAGTTTGGTATTGGGTTAAGTTGTTGGGTTCAATTTATTGATTAAGAGGTTAGTATAGTATTGTATAGTATAGTATGTTGTTTTGTTGAAGTAGTTTGGCCTTAAGTTAGTATAATCTTGGCTTGGGTTGGTCTTGGGTTTAGATTAGATTAGATTGTGGGTTGTTTTTGTTTAGTATAGTATTAAGTTAAGTTAAGTTAAGTTTGGTATTAGTTAAGTTAAGTTTAGTATGGTATTGGGTTAGTACTAAGTTGATAATAAACCACACCAAATTCAACTCAACCTAAACCCACCATAACCCAACTCAACCCAAACCCACCATAACCTACCATAACTTAACACAACTCAACTAAACACATCTTAATTCGTGTGCGAGTTTGTTTTTATGGATATGGATGACCCAGATAGAATATTTACGGAGCCTTGGGGTAATGTGGGGAGAGAAAATAGAGATAATTCGGGGACTAGGGCGTTTGTTGCTCGGGCGGAAGCTTTGTGTCAAGTGGCGGAGCAGGAAAGAGATGGAATTGAACTGGCTTTGCAATGTATTAAGGAAGGCCGCACTGAATTGGAAGAGGCCTTATTACGGATGGATCGGGCAGAAGAGGAAGTGCGGATGGTTGAGTGTACAGTAGCCCGAGTAGAACGAGAGATATCTAACAAAAAACGCGCATTGAAAGTGATGGAAGAGATAGTGCAGAGAGTGTGCGTGCCTCGAGAAGTGCTAGCTACTTTAGAATCACCATGGCTGGAGAGTATGGAAGAATTGCCAAAAGTAGAAGAAGCTCTGAATCGAGTTAGTCGTTTGGAAGAAATAGATAATCCAGATATGTTAAGTGTGCGTGCTATTGCAGAGAGTCAAAAGCGAGGGAAACAGGCTATAGAAAGCTTTTTGTCGGTAGCGGTTAAACACTTGGTCAATGAATGCGATAAGAATAAGAGTGCACGTAAAGATAAGGAAGAACTCCATGAACGGCTTAGTCGGTATAACGTAGTGATTAAAGAGTTGATTAAACGAGAACGAATGAAAGAAGTGGCTGAAGCATACAGCAAGAGACAAAGTGAAGCCTATCGGGATAAAACTGCTAAGAAAATGAATGATTTAGTGGCTACCTTTAAAAAGATCCAACTATTATCTAGTTTGGAGGCTGATCGGGCTAATGATAGTTTTTGGGAAGCCTTTCAATGGATCTTTAGTATGGTTTATAGTGAAGCATACTTCCTGGCTAAGATCCTCTTGCCTAGTCAGAAAGACCTTCAGAAAGAAGTTCTAGGCCTGGTCTTTCGTGAGGCTGAGCAGAGTCTTCTTAATGGACTTAAAGGTGTTTATGAGACCGGCTGGGCCATTCTAGTTCTTAATTTACTAGGGAGTATTAAAGCGCACGAACAAACAGCTAAGGAGAAGACTCAGCTGGGCGCTAGTATGGCTGAGATTGAGATTTCAGTTATTCAAGATGCGATCAAAACCTTCCTTCTTACCTTAAAAAGCACCTATCTAGCCACTTTAAAGAAGAAGATTACTAAAGAGTACAAGAAAGAAGGCTCACTTGATCTTGATAAAACATACTTCGATACGGTTGAATATTGTACAATTCCTGAAATCAACACTAAAGTGGCGACACTCAACCTTTTACACGCCCGAGCCCTAGCCACTAACAAAGACCGTATGCTTGGCTTGATCAAACAAGCATGTGTTCTAGGTGCCATTCATGAAGACTTTCTCAAAGCCCGACAACATTTTGAACCAGCCCTAGAAGAACAACTAGATCAAGAGATAAACGAACTGTCCAAAGACCTACTATATGAAGCCGAGCGCCGCGTCTTCGAAAAAGAGAAGTTATCAAGTATTGTCAAACGGGCCAAGGACACCATGAGTCTTCTTGCTCGCATTGATGGCCCCTTTGGCTTCCGTGTCCAAATAGACTTTAAAGACGCCATTCTAACTCGGGCCAACTTCAATCAGAAAAACGAGATAGCCAAAGTCCTAACCGAAAACCCACCAGAGCCCACAGCATAAGCATGCCCTTGTTCCCAAACAAAACACGTCTTGTCTTTCTGCCACCCCCTAACATTACCTTGATACTACTCTTTGTATCACTCAATCCAACTAAACTGAATACTAAACTGAATACTAACTCAACTGAATACAACTTAATCCATTTAATTATCCTAATCCAATCTAACCAACTCAACCCAAACTAAACTAATCCAATCTAAACACAACTCAACCCAATACCAATCCAATACCAAACTCAACTCAATACCAAACTCAACCCAATAACAATCCAATCCAATCTAAACTCAACCCAACTCAACCCAAACTAAACTAATCCAATCTAACCAAACCCAATACCAAACTCAACTCAACCCAATCCAATACCAAACACAACTCAACTCAATCCAATCCAATACCAAACACAACCCAATCTATCCTATTTTTGCTCTTTTTTTACCCCAGCTTTATACTACTATGTCTAAATCCATTCAGTACTTAGCCGACCATTTAGAAGCAGTTTTCGAATTGAAAAAGATAGATAACGATGCAGAACGCCTAAACATACTCTATGCCATAATGGAAAAAGAGTGGCACATGATTGAGTTACGCGATGCTTTAAGAGCTATTCGTGAGAAAGGCGAGAAAGAGTCTTGGGAAAGTGTGAAGAAGGAACTTCTAGAACGTGCCCAAGAGAAAGGAAACGACCGAGAGGAGCGAGACTGGAAGCCCAGATGTTATACCTGCCGAGAAATTGGACATATTTCCAAAGACTGCCGGGCTCCTAGATCTAGATACTAGATTGAAGCGAGTTAAGCCTGTGGTTAGATTGAGTT